AACTAAATTAATTTAAATTCACGTGTGTGTCCATACTTTTTTTTTTTTAATTGGAACATGGTCATGCTCATTCATTCACTTGAGTATTGTCTATGACTGTTTTCTTCAACAGCTGATTCAAGTACCTGTGACAGACTAGTTTGCAGTTATGAAGGCTAAGACATTTACTTTCTGGCCCTTTACAGAAAGAGTTTTCCCCACAGAGAGTAGAAGAATTCAATTTAGTAATTGAAATTAATAGGTTGAGAGGGATTTTAGTGACAATTTGAGGAAGGTGTTTTGCAGCAATTAAAGTGCTGCATGAACACATTCCCCAGTGCTGTCCGTATGCTTGTGGTCACTCTAGTGACAGTGAGTCCTAGACATCAGTTGGGCACTAGCAGCATTATCTATTTTGTAACTTCCTTTTCTGTGTTTTCCCATATTATGAATGGTTAATGGGAGGCCAATGTGACGTTTCATTTATTCAGAGAAAGAGAGAGAGGCACCCCCTGGAGTCTTCTATGGGATGATCCATACATACTCTAGTCACTGCCAGCCCAGATCATGGGCACAAACGCATGCCCCAATGTTCTGCAGACCTGGGACAGCTCTCAAGTGGATCCAGTTTCCTTACTGCTATGCCCTTATCTGCCCCCCCTAATGCGACTACTAACAACATTTGCATTAAGCATTTGGGGCTATTAAATATTTTTTTGAGGGTGTTTTTTTTTAAAATAAGGATTTCTTCAAAATACAAACCATAGTTGTAAATTGTACATTGATTTCTCTGTGTTTCTATTCTTAACAAGTACACAAAAAGAGAGATTCATAAAGTACCATAACTTGGCATTGTAAGAGATGTTCCTATTATAAAGGTAGTTGCCTAGAAATTCATAAAATGATCAGAGCTAAGGCCTCAATCCATTGCCCTCAAAGCAGAGACCAGAAATCAGGTTCCACTGAGCCTGCCTTCGTTTTCAAGATACATTTGTCAGAAAGCCAGACTACCCTCCTAAATCCCAAGTAGAAAACTTAACATTTTAAGTCACTAAAAAGCATGTTTATACATTTGTAAAATTCGGGAATTAATCTCATCTCCAGTTCCATTTTGATTATATATATATTATTTGTTTTCTGGGTGAGTGAGGTAGATGTTACAAGTCCATGTTAATTATGCTTGTTAATTATGCTTTTGAAGAGACTAGAATCTTAAACATAGAAGAGATAGAAGTCAGCATTGCTAAAACTGTTCAAAATTAAAATTTGGAATCCTATCCCAGTACCCAGGTATGAATGGCATTAGCTCTAAAGGAAAGCAACTTCTCTACATTCTTTTCTTGCCTCCAAAGAGCTACCAAGCTTACGGATTTCTTTTAAAGAAAACTTTACAAAAATATACAACTAACTTCATTTTTGTATTATCTGCCCATTTTAGACGAAAGTAGGCGGGACGAACCACAGCGGAGGCAGTTTTGAGGAGGTCCTCAACTCCACAGCCCATGCCAGTGCCCAGAGCTCTGCAGGAGGCCCCCGGCGGGCCGAGGAGGAGCTGCAGTGCTAGCTAGGTCCAGGCAGCCTGCAGCCACATCCAGAGGCCAGCCATTGCCCGCCCATCTCTGCCTATGTGAATCCAGATATGAAGACCAAAATCCCACTGGAAAGAACTGAGGCCTTGATGTTCTTACTCAGATGGCCTCTCCAGAGTTTCATGATTTCCAGTTTGTTAGTGTGTTGATGATGGACCACTTGACCATCACACTTCAGTATTCATAGGTTGCCATCTTTTATTATAAAATCTCTCAACTTGAGCAGATACACAATTGGTCATAATTCTTGTCCTTGTAATTCGAAATACATTTTCTGAACATGTAGTTAGTTATTGCTTTGGTTTTTGCTTGGCCTCTTCTATAATGTGCATGTCCTTTCAGTTCAGCTGGATCAATAGGATGGAGCTCTTCATGACTATCTCCAGCAACAGGATGACTTACTGCAAATTTCAAACTCTTGTGATCTCTCTTTACCTATCCATTATGTATGTTTATTTAAGCAATTAAAATAATTGATTTTAATGATGACTTTGAATTCTTAATTTCTTTAAGATTTCAGAGCCAGTGATGACCTTAAAAGTTGGCAACTGACTTTCCAGATGGCATTTTTATCTTTTTTTGAGAGAGATTTTTGTCACAGGGTGTGTGCACTCACTGGACGGAGACAGAAAGTAAGAAATCACCACCTCCCCCAAAGGGGGATGGCCATGCCACAATTCCCTCTCCTCCATTCTCTCAGGATTTTGGTATGATGCACACATGCCTGGCGTGAATTTTAAGCCATCAGGTCAAGGACTCGAATTGCAGTCAACTAATGTGGGAGTCCAGCAATGTAACCATTATGCTATCTGCTGGTCCGCAGATGCTATGTTTCTAAATAACTTTTAAAATTTTATTTATGGGAGAAAGAGACTGATTGTTGGTAGTGGCTAGCCATGTCAAGATCTTGTCTTAATCTCACAGCTAGGCAGGACTACAGGCATACCACCACGCCCAGCCGATTTTAGTTAGACTCTAACCCAGTCTTCCCATGTGGCCCTAGCCTCTGAGTAGCAGTGTCTCGACGGTTTGCCCCAATGCAGCTGAGCTTACAAATGCTATTTTAAAATCAATTTCTACTGCTAATTGGTGACGATGATACAGTAAATAACAGTAATTACAGCTGACACTTGAACATGGGTTTGTGCAGGTCCACTTACATGCAGATATTTTTCAGATATGTTGGAAAGTAGCAGTGCAGAATTATAAATATTTTCTCTCCCTTTGATTTTCTTAATTAATAATATTTTCTTCTGTTTGACATCATTTTTAAAATATGGTATATCATATACATACAAATATGTGTTGACTGTCATCAGTAATGCTCTGGTAAACAGGCTATTACGTTTGGGGGGGGTCAAAAGTTATTTATTTTGTTTTTTATTGATTGATTTATTTATTTTTCATGTGAGTTCACCAGAGAAAGACAGAGACAGAGAGAGAAACAGGAAGTGAGAAACCAAACCACAGGTCCAAGACTTGAACTGCAGTTGGTCATATGCAAAGTCCAACGCCTCAACCACTATGCCACCTGCTGGCCCCCAAAGTTATTTTTCACTTGTATATCAGAAGGGGAGGTCAGCACCCCCAATCCTGACACTGTTGAAGGGTTTACTGTTTAACTTCAGCTACTTTATCTAAAATTCTCTCCAGTCTGCACAAAGTAGTAGTTTCTCAGGTAAGAGGTATCTGAAAAAAGGTAGCTAGAAAAATAGTTTGAGAAAGCAGCCCCTTCCACTTGTAAATTATTCACGTTTGAAAGTAATCTGCGTTTTTTTAAAAATTTCACACACGGAGAGAGAGTGAAAGTGAGAAAGCAAGCCACCAGGTCCGGGATTTGAAGGATGGTCAGCCATGTGAGAGTGTCCAGTGCCGTTACCACCACACTACCTGCTGGTCCCAATAACCTGCATTTTGATCAATACATGCAGATTTCTGAAGTAACTTTGATATTCTACATTATATATATATCTCTTCTTCTAAATGAGACACTATTTGTTATTAGCAGGCATAGAGCCTTGAGATGTATGAATAGGCTTACTAACCAAACTACCACAATTTTCTAATTTTTAAAAGAATTATTAGTTTAATCTTATTACGTATCATTATTATTTGAAAGCAAGCTGCTAGGGCCAGGACTTGAACCACGGTCCGCCACATGGGAGTCCAACAACTTAACTACCACACCACCTGTTGCCCCCACTACCTCAATTTTCAAAGTCCATATACCATATATAAATAGTATTTTTAAAATGTTTTTGTATTTATTATTAAATAGAAGTAGATAGAGATGACATAATGAAGTAAAGGCAATCTGAAAAACTGTTCAAACTAATGGAGCAGGAGAGTCGTATCATCCATGTTTAACTGAAAATCAAGTTGGTTCAGAGCCACCTAATATCCCAGACCTGGATCACTGAAGAAGGATGGAGCTGTAAATTTGGATCAGACTGGCCAAATATAGACAAAGAAGCCCAGCCAGTGGGGATGCTGGCATTCTCCCTGATCCATCCTTGCAGCCTATTGGTTAAAGTCATGTCTTGCCAGGTGGGGCAAGAAGTCAGTGCTGCCCACCTGGCCGGGGACTGTGCTGGCTCACCTGCTGCAGCATGCAAGTACTCCAGCTCTTGTTGCCCAGTCTGCAGCTACCTGGTGATTTTGAAATGGTCAACCTCTGTAAACTCCCTGCCCTTTTCTTTCTGACCATATTCAGCACACTGCATTGTATTAGATAAAGCAGTTACGGTATTTTAAACAAGTATTTTCACTCACCAACCACACAACAGTCTCAGCCTTACCATCTGATAAGTTAAAATTGGACTAAAACAAAAAAAAAAACTGGGGCCGGCAGGTGGAATGGTGGGCACTAGATTCCCGCATGGCACACTGCACTGAGTCCTGGACTCCGAAGCGACTTGCTTTCTCAGTTTCTCTTTCTGTGTCTCTCTGGGTTCAAATTTGAAAAACAATAACAGGGGCCAGCAGGTGGTATGGTGGTTAAGGTGCTGGACACTCCCATATGGCCAACTGTACTTCTAGTCCTGGACCTGGTGACCTGCTTTCTCACTTTGCCTCTCTCTCTGTGCTTTTCTCTGGTCAAATTAAAAAAAATGATGAATAAATAATTTTAAAAAATAATAATAACAAAATTAAATCTTTTTTTAGATGAAGTGTTAATATTGCAAACCGTTAGATATATGTTAGCAATTTCTTTTATTAAACCATTCATCACAATTCTAATTTTATCAGGTTGCTAAATACCATTTTCACATGACTATTAAAAACCTTTTATCATCACTCTGAGAATATTCTCTGGGAGTGATATTTGTAATAGCCATGACATGAGGTTGTCATGTATGCGCATGAGCCACATCCCTCAGATGAGAATACAGTCAGGTCTGGTAAGAGGAAGTCTCATTTAGGTTAGTTAGGTAAGAAGCCTTGTCTTAGTCTCACCACCTCATCACTCAGCTGCCAGGCTCCTTGTCACTCACTGGTCATGTGCAAGCTGATCCTGATTTTATTGGCTTCTGAGTTTCAGTTCTGTCCGGCTGGGCCCAGTACACATACAGTGGTTTAATGTTTCTTAAGTGCCAAAGTACTTGTGTACAACATCCTAACCTTTTACTAACAAAGCAAACTGACTTCAGGTCAACAACATGTATACTGAAGAATACTACAAGAAAAAATGTATTTTAATCATCAAAAATTCCAACGCAGGCCCAGCTGCTATGGCACACGTGGGAGGTTGCCCCTGCCTGAGAGCTGAGGCTTCATGCAAGGCCCAGGCATGGTTCCTGGGCCAACTAAAAAAAAAAAAAAAAAATTCCTGTGATCCTAGCAAACTGGAAGGCGGAGGCAAGATGACTGTAATATAGCAAGACCCAGGCTAAAATGCTTGGTGTGCTCCTTCTCTCCCTGTCAAGCTGGAAAAAACAAACAAACAACCAAAAAAACATAATATATATAAATTATGATTACAAAATAAATGGAGTTTTTAAAAAAAAGACAGGAGCCCATTGTGCAATTTAACCATTACCACTTTTGTGCACCTTTTTATCTTGCAACTCACATTTCATGAAGACTATGACTATCAGTGGGGACATGTCAGCAGAGTAAAACGTGTTACTCTAGACTACACATTTGCTTAGAAATCTGTTCTTGATCTGTAGAAAACCACAAACTGTGCGTTTTACTTGCTATCCACAGGACCAATGTGGAGAGAACCCTGGGGATTGAGGAGCTCTTCTGCCAAGTTTTCATTGTTCCAAACTTACTCATTGCCTTGAAAGTTTAACTGCACTAGAAGATGGTGCATATGGTTGTGAGCTTCAACGCCACCCCTCTCCTCTCAGTTATAATGAAATAAGAATGGGAGTGAGTATAATAAAGGACGATGGTGGTAAGGTTTAACAAGTTAATGTGAAATGTGAAACATAAAACCTTAAATAAATATTATTACAAACTATAACTGGCAAAATCTTACGGTTACTTTTCATAATCTCTAAAAATAATAAAATTCTCTTTACTTATTTCATGAGCCAGAGAAAGAGCACTGTCAGGGGCTTGATCCTATGACCCACCCCAGTCTCAGCCAACCCTGGATCATGTGTGCCTGGCGTACTCAGGGAGGACTCCACGTGAGCATCTGGAACCTTCCCATGTGGTCCGCCTTGCAGAGAGTCCCAATATATTTCTGTGGCCCTGTCCAGCCCCTAAGAATAGTGTAGCACAGAGCACACAGATCAAAGCAAAATAAAAATAACATAGTAAGCCTCCAACAGAAGTCATCCCATCTCCCCTTTGAATACAAATACTGGAAAATTACTTGAATAAAAATGCTGAGTACAAAGCATGTTTTTCTCATAAAGCACTTCATCAGTCATTCACCCCAGAGCTTACATCACCACCACAAGGTTTTGAGATGAATTGACGTTTTTCAAATGCAAGGGCATTGAGAATTATGTAACAGCTGGTAAAATGCCAGTCCACAAGAGAAAAAAGTAACAAGGAATTCTTTTTTGTTGGGTTCAACCCAAGAATAATTATTTACTCTGCATCCTAATTGTAAGATTGTTATTCAGACCAATGCTAGGCAACCAGCAGGTATTTTCCAAGAAAAAAAAAATATTTCTTAAGTAGTAATGATCAAATATCTATAGACTACTGGTGGGTTAGGTATCTTTCTTTAATGACCTTCATTTTCTTTTTTAATTAAATGAAAATGTAGTGATAGAATCATTAGACTTTTTTATTTTTTTAATTCAGGAATGAAGATTTAGGACTAATTGTGAACCCCCACATGGTAAATGGATGATCTGCTGAGACCATGATTAAGCGATGAGTATAAAATATAACCAAGTATAGGCCTCCAAGGGCTCTCTGTGACCTGTGCTGGTTATTTGTAAAGATTATAGGAGGCAGAATGCTCAAAATAAAACTCCAGGGCCTCAGAAAACCTCCTAGTTATAAATACTTGAACT